CATCAAGTCTATATTGTGAGAGAAAAAATAACTAGAGAATATAACATATTCATAACATATAACATATTTTTATTTAAATCAAATTTAAATAGAATAAACAATTGCTTTCATGAACAGTCTAAAATTTTAAGAAAGCGCATATTTTGTTATTTGAAAAACATCTTGTGTTGGCACAAGTGAATATGTTGTTAGTACTCACTATGAATAAAATATCTTTTATTTTTCAAATATTTTCTTCCTCGATGTATGTACATTTCTCACGCGTTGCGCGTGCAATATATTCTCAGATATATTAAATTGAATTCCAATTTATACACGTTGTATGCGCGCGTAATAGCGAATAACACGACGTTTCGCAAAATTCTAATCGAGCTCACCACGACGAGGTGAAATACGGCGATGTGAGCGTCGTATCGTGTGAAAAATAAATATTGTCGTTACGGGGAAGGGTCTTCGGAGGTTAGCAGCAAAGGATGCATTGAAAATATCATAGGCGCTCGCGCGTGAACGATAAATTCATGTTTCTCTCAACGAGAGAAGAAAGAGAAAGAGGGGAAAGAGAGAGAGAACGAGAAAAAGAGTGGTATAATTTCTCGGAGCTTCACAAGGGCTCCTCTCTCGTTTCTTATAAGTTACCCACGTCTTACTTAACTCGCGTCTGCGAGCTCAGACTTCTCGGAGGAGTGGGGGGGAGGGGAATAGTCAGCACCCTGCGAATTCAGAAGAGCGGTGGTCCAGAAGTAAAAAGAGAAAGAGAGAACGAAAGAGAGAGAGAGAGAGAGAGAGGGGGGGGGACGGTTCGTCGTATTATGCGACTTGAGTCCTACTTCATCGGAACACGAGCTGGTAGACAGAGGCTGGCCGGTGTGTCCGCCATTATCTGATCCGAACTGGGTAAGTTACTGACCATGTTCAAAGTCGCGCAACAGTTTACTCGAATTCCTTTGTCGGACAAAGTGGGACTACAATTTCGCGTGGAAAATAGCTCGCCCGCCGGTGGCTCGAGAAGTGACCGATCTGAAATACCACGATGAAAATAGTCACGACGACAACCTCGCGAAAACAGACGATCGACGTTGTTAAGGTTTGATAGATAAACGCGCGGCAAATGTAAAGGGTGGCTGAGTGCTCGAGAAATTAATTAGCGAAATAGATTGCCTCGCGACACACCTAGACAGTCCTGCCCGTTTTGATACCAACGGCAAACAACGAATGTAAACTCTCGGCTATAATTGATTTCGCTGAGGATACGTGAAAGAATTCGGAACATTTAAAAACTCACGGCCGAACATCGGGACTCAGAAGTCGAAACAGATGGTAACGAGCGGATGAAAAGGAGGCCAAACGAGAGAAAACGTGAGGAGGAAGGAGAGGAGAAGAAGAAGAAAAGATGTGGAAAAAAAAAGGAGTTACAGCATTGTACGGCCGGAGCCCTACTTCATCGGAGCATGAGCGGGCAAACAACGGGCAGAGGCCCATGTATCCGCCATTGTTTGGCCCATGTGAGGAGGCATGCGGCCATGTTTCCTCACGTGTACCTGGCGACCGGATAAAAAGAGGATGGCAGAAGGGGAGCAGGAGGTGTACGTAAGGTCGGCGAGGACGAAGGTGGGGGATTCCTGCAGGGCGGAGGTGAGGAGGGCCGGTTGCGGGCCCGAGAGAGACTGGGGAGCCTGCAGGGCACGCGTGTATGCGTTTTAACGCGCGTGTGTGTGGCCGTATGTGTATTTATATACATATGGTAGCGCTTATGCAATTATATACTTGGCCGAATACTTGGTTATTATGTATGTACACGTGCGTATGTTATGTTTTTGCGTCTGCAATGATTATACATGATTTGGCTTGTGTAATAAATAATTTCGGATGTTTCAGATATAATTATGAACGGTTGTACTTTTATATTGTTCAATCTTCTGAAACAATATGTGCTCACATTTCACACCTGCGCTCACTTTTTACCACCTTCCGCACATGCATTGTTTAATGAAATTATAACACCGTACAAATACAGAGGAGAGTTGTCTGTTTGAGAAAGTGAAACGTTTTTTTCCAACGCGCGAAATAAGATATAATTTGAAAATTTTCTGTTTATATTTCTCACTGCTCATTTATTTCTCAGTTTTACCGTCATTTTTATTGTCATTCATACTCAATATAATACATAAATTTATGAAGCACAAACTAGACAACTCTTCAATAATCGTTTTATTTTACTTGAAAAAAATTCGAAATCACTTATTATTTAGTCCAATATGATATATTTGCTAAATATGTATATATTCTACACACAGAATATATTCTACACACTTTACCAAATTGTCACTTTTCCATCACGACAAAATTCCCTCTATTTGATCTGACGAATTTTTGAAATATCTTCGTGTCTGACGTTTGCAAATGACTTTTTTCAGTGAGTTTTTAAGTGTCCCAAATTTTTTACAATTTTACAATTTCTAATATCCTTAATATCTATATATACACACACACACAAAATTTCGCAGAAAATATTATGTATATATACTATCACACACATACACATGATTGCGCACGTGTGTTGCGTGCACGTGCTCATTTCAACGAAAGGCGTGTATGTATCTATGTATACGCGTGCGTGCGTGCGTGAGGAAGAGAGGCTTGCCAAGTAATTATATCCTGTAACGATCGGTCCATCAAATCTGATCACCTGGACGGGGAAGATTTACCAGCACCACCTTGACGAACCGGCACCAACACTGCCGCGGCGATGCAACGACGTGCTATCCGCCGACGCGCCGGCTAAATGAAGCTTTTACGCACGCGGCTGGATTGAGTTTGTTATGGGATCAACACTTCCACGGCGCCATACCGCGTTAGGCATACGCTCTCGGCCTTAGCAGCAGTCTCTTTCTCTCTCCCTCTCTCCGTCCCCCCTCTCTGGCATTCTCTTTTTCTCTCTCATTCTTTCTCTCTCTCTCTTGCCCACGCATAATCGTTTCTTAAACGTAGACGTATCACTTCGACGGCTAAATCGTCGAGGTGCTTCCCCGTCCGCTCCTTTTTTGCTCGTGGATGCGCGCCGGACGTCGAACGATCGTCGACTACGGCGGTTGTCTGACTACGAGGATTTACGATGCCGATACGAAATTACGCGACGTAATTTCGCAGAACAATTTGCGCGAAGGTAACATCGATGAAGTGGGGAATGGGTGAAAAATCAATGCTGCGAAAATCGATGAGGTAAATCGACCCCTCCCCCTCCCCGAGAAACAGCATCGCTCAACTCGAGTTTAGACGGGAAAATCACGATGAAAGTCGAACGCGTGTGATTAGATTTTTAAGAAAAAGTGCGGCAAGTGTCCATGTCGTCCAATTTTCCGCGGACAAAAATTTTGACTCTATTTTGCACTTAAGGTAAAGCTTCTGACGTGGAGAGTGCAAATGTAAAGCAGATATGGTGTCATTTAGTGAAGATGGAATTTTCCATTTTCTCTGGAACAACAGTTCCTCCAACCTTAACACTTACATGCTTGTGATTACGCGTTAAAGAGTTTAATTTAAGTGCCAAAAATTCGACGGAATTTGGCCGTGCTCTCTTCGTCTAAGATTTTTATCCCGGCTTTTTAGTACGTGAGAAACGCCGATACGCTCGCCTTCGATAATGACTATACCGTCATTTTCACCCCGCAACCGCCTCCTCGTCCGCATCCCCTGAACAAACCGGCCGAGGAGGACGAGCCTCGGGGATAGGGCGGATTCTCCACGGCAGATGTTGCGTCTCGGTCCACCCAGAGGATAATTGAGTATTGTAAGCCGACAAGAAAATCAAATTTCCCTGCGTCTGCACATACACATATATCTCTCTCTTCTCTCCTCCCTCCCTCCCTTTCTTTTTCTCTCTGTCTCTCTCTTTACTTCGCATGGCGCCCGACAATGTCGCCTGCGACCCTTCGTCGTTCGTTTCTCCATTTTGGCGCAATTTTCCCGTAACTCGCTGGTGCGACTCATGTAACGGCGAGAAGTTCGCGTGCCGTGACGATGGCGTGATCCCTGACACGCGCTACCGCGGTGTGTCTCGGGACAATCTCGTTGGGAAACTCGTGAGAGAGGGTGGTAACAAAGTATTTCACGCGCGCACACACGCGTAATTATTCGGCTCCACTGGCGTGATGCTTGTTCTTCGCGATTCTACTATTGCTTGACGTTGTTTCTTACTCGCGATGTTATTTCGTAGTTATGGTTATTACGCGGCCGAAGATAACGATCGGGCGTCATGAGCAAAACGTCTGGGATTGCCGGCCACCCTTGCAGAATTTTCGTGCGTCGTACGCGTCGTTTTCAGGGATGCATTCGTCATCTCGTGGTCGTTGGCAGATGGAACGCGCGCCATTTGCGGCGTTTAGCGCGACGAATGGACAGATCCGCGGCGGGACAGATGTACCCCTTATTGGCGAGTTTGCCGAGGATTCCGATCGTTCTTCCGCGACGCGTCCGATCGCGATCGCGAAGGGTGAAGCGTTGCGAACCAAGCTTCGCGAGAAATCGGCGGGATCACGAATATGTAAATCGCATTTATTTCTTACCAACTAAATTTTGTTCAGCTTGTGTAATAAGTCGAATCTTTTCAGGTGAAATGGAACAGTTGTATCATATTTACTTTTGTACTAAAATATTCTACAAATAAGAAAATATATATTCTATTAAAACCTCAAAAAACTTTAGCTTCTTATCAGAGCAATTGTTTATTTTATTTCAATAAGAGAATTCAGATTTAAGTAAATATATGCTATTAGTATCCACCGAATAAATGTGTGGGTTAATCATTTTTTAGATGTTTTTCTTTCAGTATACACATGTCATTTTAATCTATATTCTCCTGCATCTTTCTTTGTTTTTTCTTTCACAAAATTATAACGACATAAAAATATAAAAACTGTACATGAAAAATTCGAGATTACTTATTACATAAGCCAATACCATGAAACCCAACACCTGACAAATCCTTGTACTTGTAAACTCACCGAAATAACGGGAACTCAGGATCGGCCACGTTCTGCAATAGATCTGGAATAAAGATACAACATAGACTATTAGATACAACGATTAATGATTTGACGAAATAAAAACACTCGCGTATGCAAACGTGTTGTAACTCAATGATTTTTGCTCCGACAATTATGCCGGAGTTTTTGATCGCAGAGGACGAAATGTGTGAGAAAGCACGGGAAATCTATGAAACTACCTTCGAGCCGATCTCGTTTGGTCCGAACCGGATCCTCCGATACGGCATCCACAACCACCGCGACTGCACCTCGGATGGGAACCGCACCCATCGTGCGGCTATAAACTCCATTAGATCTGAAACAAGAAGCAAGTTTTCTGGTTAGTTAAGCGAACATCAGCACTGATATCAAGTATATCAAGAGTACAGAAGCTCACAAGACGGCGTATTTTTATCTTGAGCAAATGAAAATAAAAGGGTTACCCTCAAGGTTCCAGAATCCCGCCGTTGCTCGAGAGAATTATAGCATAGATGATCACACGCGCGAATTAACGGAGCGCGTCTCACGCACACACCTTGATCGCTTTGGAAATGCCGGAAATCTCGACGTTTCCCGATACGTCTACCATTGCGCCAAGGAGTGTTATGATTGCTTGACGGTTGCGCCTATACTTCCGTATGTTGTTATTCCGGAGGTCACGTGACTTCCAACGCTCGAAAGTATCTTTGGTTTGTTTGCACGTGAATTTAACGTTCTCTATGTTAGACATCAACACATTATATACTATTTCATGGTATTGTTTACGATACGAGAATCGCAAACTCTTTATATACAGAGAGAATTTGGTTGAATCAAATAAACGTTTCTTTGGAATAGTTTAAGCGAATTTTTCGATTGATCGAACAAAATTTTGTTTGAAGCAACAAAAATATTTATTTGCGGCTTAGTTCCAAAGGAATATTTTTGTTGTGTCAACCAAATAATTTGTTTGGACTATTCCAAAGAAACATTTATTTGATTCAATAAATTGTTCTCTCTATGTTCTCTATATGTATAATTTGTTGTGCCATTCAAACTTTATTCACTGAGAAAAAAATTCTTGAAAATTTATTTGTAGGACAAAAATTGATTTCACAGAAACAAATTTTATTTCTCAGAAATATACTTTATTTCACGGAAATAAATTTTGTATCACACAAATAAATTTCCAAGTATCTTTTCTTCAGTGTTATTCTTTTAAAATCCTACTATCCTTATACCGCCGATATGAATATTTAGTACGAGTCGCGCGGAACAGTCGAGCTGACTGTAGTGACTTTCGTGGAAGCATTTGAAAAATTACTCGGGGACGAGCGCTAAAGAAATATCGACACGACCACACGCCGTCCGCCGTTGGTCCGCGCGAAAACGCATCCCGCCGGCGACTGTGAGAAAGCGCAGGAGGCATGAAAAGGCTTACGGCTTCCCTGAAGCCGGACTCCCGCGGTTTTATACAAATCCGCTAACGAGCGTCTCGAATTAAAAGCGATCGGCCGCAATTCCGCGGATGTAACCGCGGCGAAACGTTGCAAAACGGCGCTTTAACAGGGCCGTTCGGGCCTCCGCCTCTTCTAATCAAGCCGCGCTGTGCTGCTGCTGTTGATTGTGAGCCGTGTTATTACGTGAGCGTAAGGGGAGCGGAAAAGTAAGGAGAAGGTAAGGAAAGAAAGAGAAGAAGCATTGAGGTTTGGCCGTGATCAGCGATGGGATGCCGTGTCGGTAAAAACGCGCTCGCTTTTCCCGCGGCGAACCTCGCTCGTCGAGATTGCACTCGTGGAAACGTTAAACGCGCGCGCGTACGCCAGGTAACTCGACGGTGCACCGCGGTGGTGCACCGGCTCGGCTCGTTAGCGTATTGATCACGCCGCCAACCTTTTTCCCTCGGCGTATGCACTTTTAACGTCGAACCTTTCGCACCTCTTTCGCAGGCGTCAACTTGTGCTGTTGGAGCGCACCCCGTGCATGCGCTTCATTAAGACGCGATCTACAATAGATGGAGTAAGAAGTAGAAGTAAGACGAGATGGAAATAATTTATTTCGCTTACTCCCTTACTCCAATAAAAGTTTGCCCGTCTACATCACATGAAGTGAGCCTGAATTAAGTAGTAAGCGCTGGGGTAAGGAGCTGGAGTAAGGGAGTAAGCGAAATTAAAGGGACGTCTACATTGGAAGTAAACAGTAAGAAGTAGGAAGTAAGAATAAGAAATTGACTAATCATAGTTAATTATTCTTCTCACATTCGACTGTGGTTGGTCAATTTCTTACTCTTACTTCCTACTTCTTGCTATTTACTTCCAATGTAGACGTCCCTTAAGGCCCGATCTACAATAGATGGAGTAAGGAGTAGGAGTAGGAAATAAGCAGTAAGCAAATTGACCAATTCCTTTCTCACGTTTCAAAAATAATCGATTGTGATTGTTTACTTACTGCTTATTTCTTACTCCTACTCCTACTCCTTACTCGATCTACAATAGATGGAGTAAGGAGTAGGAGTAGGAAATAAGCAGTAAGCAAATTGACCAATTCCTTTCTCACGTTTCAAAAATAATCGATTGTGATTGTTTACTTACTGCTTATTTCTTACTCCTACTCCTACTCCTTACTCGATCTACAATAGATGGAGTAAGGAGTAGGAGTAGGAAATAAGCAGTAAGCAAATTGACCAATTCCTTTCTCACGTTTCAAAAATAATCGATTGTGATTGTTTACTTACTGCTTATTTCTTACTCCTACTCCTACTCCTTACTCCATCTATTGTAGATCGGACCTAAAAGGGTTACGAGAGTCTCCTGACGGCATGGGACATTCGCGGCGAACACAATTCGCTCGTTGCTTACGTATCTCCGCTTGTGTATCGCTCGTTATCTTAATACACTCATTATTCCGCCCTGTTTGATCAGCTTGATCGATGATCGATCGACGTCTTTGTAATTGAGCCTGAAATTGTTCTCGTATCCGATCGGCATACCCGCGTGTCTTGTTTGTCATTTCGTTTCGCGATGACTGCGCGTGTGTGCATATCGCGCTCTGCGCGCGCGCTAATTAATCTTTTCCCCAGATATCTTCCCACAATACCCATATTTATCGAGCATGTACACGCGTTAATGCGCATACCGTATATCTTCGAAAACATACACGCGCCCGGGATCAGCTTATCATCCCCCGCCGCTCTCTTTCTCTCCCTCTCTCTCGCTCGCTCGCTTTCGCTCGCTCTTTACACCCGTGAAGCGCACAGAGGATACGTATCGCGATCGCGATCGTGGTGGATCGTAAGTTACCTCGAGGGAGGAGGAGCACGGCCGGTAGCCGCACGTACACGTAAACGGTAGCCGAGCAATTAAACGCGCAATTAAACGACGGCGGCGGCGATGTAACGTTTTAGCGCTCCGCGAAATTCGCTTTTCCCGCGAAGTCCCCGACGATCCTCGTCGGCTCGATCAGCCCGGTCGGATCGACACTCTGCTACATTGGTCGAGAAGCCCCCTTATCCCCCTCGTGCTCGACAGAGCGCGGCTTTTTCTCGCGGTTTGCGCGCCTACCATCGCGTATACTCGCGCGCCTCGTGAGTAACGGATGCCTGATTCTTCCCTCGTGAATTTTCTCGGCTCGACCCGCGGCATAACGTGACTGTCGGGCATTAGCGGGCAGCTTTACCATGCCGCTTACCACGCGATCTCTGTCACCTAATAACGCTCCTCCTAATCGGCCGATAAGACGACACGCGAGTGTCGTTGCATAAATAAAGTCAAGATCCCGAGCGTGTTCGCGGCGGCGGCGACGACCTGTGTGTAACATGTGTGCGTGCGTGCGTGTGTGTGTATGTGTGTGTGCGTGCGTGCGTTCGTGGAACGCGAGAGGGTTACGTCAAATTGCGAACCACGTTATAAACTTATAAGTTACAGCTGATCGCCGCGCGATTGTTATTAACGCACACGGCGGTAATTAAGCACGCGAGCGAGCCGTTGTAAATTGCGTTCGCTCTTCAACTTTCCCCCGTGTGTGCGCGCGCGCGCTTGTACGGGCGCGTGAAGTTGCGCTTTCGCGAACGTTGTTTAATATTAATGCGTCCGGCTGGCGATGCCAATCTCGGACAAGTTGATACGACTTCGGTCTCTGTATCTCGCGGCTAAATTAATTATTAACAATTAGTCAACCGCGCGAGATTTCCCCGTTCGGTTTGAGCGCGCTGTTATTTTCGTGAATTATGAACCCCGCGATTAATCCTCGAGAGCATTTCTTTCCCGTCCCGGGGAATGAGACGAGGACTGTCGAGCGACGCGACTACGTTCGTTGAGGAAGCCGAAGGGCCCGTTTTCGCCGGGAATTCTCGCGTTTCCCCGATCGAATCTCTCTCCTCCATCTTCCCGCGCGCTGCCCGCCGCCTTCAAGACCAATCTCCCAACGGGAAGGGGTGGAAAGGTTCTCGACGTACAATTCATATCTCGTCGACAGCATCGTATAACTAATGTCGACGTCATTATACACAGTTTGTATGAGATCGATCTACCGATTGCGCGCGCTCGTGTTTACAACTCTCCCGCGCGCTGTCGTCACGAACACTAATCATGGTGGGCGGACAGCGACGAGCGCGAGCTTCGTCGACGCGCAGCCCAGCATCGTCGCGGATCCAGCTGAATCATCATCGGCCACGAAGCGGCCAGGGATTTTTACTTTCCGAATTCGTACGAGAATAATGCTGCCTGGATGACTAGGCGAGGCAGGCAGGCAGGCAGGCAGCAGCTCACGAGAAGTGAGAGTCGCAACAGCACTTGCGCTCTCCTCGGCTCTCCTCGCTTGTGTACCTGAGCAGAACGCAGGATCACCAGGTCCCAGAAGCATCAGTGCGTCAATTCGGAAGATCCATTTGCCGCCTTTTAATTTTAAAGGCATAATTTAATTTTAAGTGCGCCGCGCCGCGCACTTAAAAAGCGTTCTTGGAACTTGAAGATCATCAATTTGGAAACCTCGGTGACATTTACAAATACAAATACGTTGGTCAATGGATAAGTTTTAGGAGATTGAAAAAGAGACAATTTACATTTATTTTGTTATACCAAGGGGGGTCATTCGTAATTATTTATAGAAACATTGAAATACTTCGTGATATTTTAGAGAACTAGAATTAAAAATACTATTTTATAACTGCCATATTAGGATACAAGCAAAATTGATGGTCACAGTCAATAGATATGAATTTATGGCATATAATTATATTTTTATCACTTTTATTTTTTTATTTTTATCACTTTAGAAAAATCGATTTTAATGTAATGCTCATGAAATATGGTCTAAATTCATTGGCGGGTGTCAATATTATAATGCTGATAATTTTGCAATAATTTTCAATGATCTTTATATTCCTCCAACAACTTGAATCGAAATTTAAACACTAGCGTTAAACCAATTCCTCGAAGCGCCACTTCACACTAGATTCGTTTCTTATTACGCCAAGCGCCAAAAAAAAAAATTTTGTGCGCTAACTCGGTATGTCAAAGAGTCACTTTGGCGGAATTGCGCCAGACCTGGCAACCCTGGGAGAACGATAGAGCTCGAGAGAGCTGAAGAGATAGAGAGAGAGAGAAAAGAGAACATTAAACGAGTCCTCGGAGGACGAGGATGCATCGCGGGGCGTGACCCGCCAGGGCCCGGCTTTCGAGGATTTCGTGGTCGGGATTGTGTTTTGACGTGTTTTGACAAACGGGCGCCATTATACACATCGCCGCGCACCACGAAAGCCAAGGGCGGCCTTTGAGCACGCATTACCGGC